ATTGTTTTATCAACAGTCAGAACAAGGACAAATATGATCCAGAATATTCTCCAGAATAACCTCACAGTGATGTGGCGTCAGCTGCGCTGTGATTGGTTGATCTCAGGTCACACCCAGAGTAAATAGCTTCCAGAAGGATCATCTAACCGACGTCGGACAGTTTTCCCATATCTACGTTTGGATTAGCTCCTGATTGTCCGATCTACGAGGCGACGCGAAGGTCAAATGTGCATTTGATTCGCTAGGTGGAAAAACAACAGTTGCGTTAAAAGTAGTGATTCGTCTTCGACAGATGTTGACGCTAACGGATCTGCTTGATCGTCGTTGACTCTGTGACGACCAAAAACAAAACCTAGCTGATTTGACGAGTTACATTTTTCATCAACAGACTGAAGGGGGCAGCGCGCTGCAGAGACATCTGACAAAATAAACCAGCCCCCAGCGCCCCCCCCACACACACTAAAACAACGTATAAACTAGAGCCAAACATTTTGATATTGAATCCCAGAATTTTCTATGTTTACATTGAAAATATATAAATAAATATATATGTAAATATATTTGTAAATATATGTAAATATATATATATGTAAATATATGTAAATATATGTAAATATATATGTTTTACAGGACTCGAATACCAGGAGAACCTAGAAAAGGTAAGGCGAGCACTTTACTGTAAGGCAAGGATGCCAACCACGTCTGCCACCGATCTGCCCAGCATTGACACATTCGTACGTTGTAATTTCTGAGCAATATATATTTCATATATTTGCAGGATTAGGACGCAGATTGATAGAATCTTGAGCAGCTCAGTGATCTTAGACGTCTTTAACGTTTCATCCCAGTTAAGCGAATTATCGCGGTGAATTCTGACGCTGACGACTCAGATTATGTCGAGTAAACGCCGGGGCAACAGGAGATTTAGGGTTTTTTTTTTTTTTCTTTTCATTCCCAGGTCACGGATGAAAGGCTGGTAAATGAATGCAAATATATGGAATGGGATCTACATCAGACGCCGGAGTGGAACCACCTGGGCCTGCTGTGGTCGGGTGAACGTAGGATTTCACTCTCTCTCTCTATTTTTACCCATCCGTGGTTGTTTATGAGTTTGTTACAGAGGAGGAGGAGGAGGAAGATCAGTCGCTTCTACACTTTCTTACGCAGCACGTTTTTTTTCTGAGCCATTTCACACCCTCACACACACACAAACACACACCTACATGTTCTCTCATGGCAGTGATTCTCAGCAGTCCAGTGAAAACCAGTGGAGCCGACATCAAACACTGACATCAAACATCCAGCAGGGGGCGTACCGGAGCGTTACTCTACAGTACAGTCCTTTTACGACGGGTCGGTGAAACGGTTCTAGTGGAACTCAGTAAATGTGCCTGGTACTTCTGTCTCTGCAGGAACAGAAACCTCTGTTAGCCAATGGTGTGAGGCGTGAGACGAGGACACGCCCACTTCTCTGCTGAGCTTCCAACCAAACAACGAAAACATTGTCCACATCATCAACCAATAATTTCTATTTTTTAAATATCTGTTTGATGAATTGATTGATCTGTAGGACCTGAATATATAAATATATACACGACAAATATTTTGAAGGTGTTTTTTTTCTCCACATTTTACAACAGTAGCAGCTGAACACAGTGATGAAAGAGTTAATTTTTTGTGTCACGACCTTTTGTTCTGTGACAAAAACAGATAAAAATCTAAATTGGAACTTATTTTTAAATCAGTTTTTATAAACAAGAAAATGTCGCATTTTTAGAAAATGTCTTATTCAAACGTAGTCGATGAAAAATGTGAAGGAACTAGAGCGGATTATTATTATTATTATTATTATTATTATTATTATTATTATTATTATTGATGCCATTTTATGATTCATTCAACTGTCGAACTACCTTGAACCAGAGTTTTCTCTTCAGTTTCTGAGTGATTTAAAAATAGATGATATTTGGTGAAATAAGTCAATGGTAAAATAAAAAAATAAATATAAAAAAAAAAAATTTTTTTTTGGCCTTTCGATGCCCAGTGGGGGGCGCTTGTCGTCCTGGTACAACTGAACAACGTTCCCTGTTTGTTTCGTTATGAAACTAAATCTAGGACAAATTTTAAAACGATGACTTTTCAGTTTAAATTCTCTACGAACTCATTCCTAATGAGTTGTTTTTCCGTTTCACATTTGGATTTTTTTGGTTGATGAATTTTTCCATGGAGAAAAGTAGTTATTTATTCCAGAAGGAGAAAACATCGCCCTCCCCCCCCCCTTATTTTTCCCGGCCCCCCCCCCCCCACCCTCTCCACCCGGGGCAGTATGAACTCTCATGTCCTCTCTTTATCGACACGTGTCCTGACTCTGGCCCAGACCCACGGTTCACCTCAGTGGAGCGTGAGATGTTCTGGCAGAAGTGACCCGTCACGTCGACCTTCGTCTGCTGCGTGAACATCTGCCGCTAATTCATCTGCAGCGCCCCCCGCTGTAACAACAGTCTCCCAAAAGCACCTGTACACACACACACACACACACACGTACTGCACCCAACTGCCTCAGATCTGCTCTGCGACACAGTCAAAAAGTTCTAAGACAGATGTTATCATTTTTGTATCTGAGAATCCGTTTGATTCACCCAACACTACAACGCTTCAACGAGGACCAAAAAGACGGCGAGACATTCAAGGTTAAAAGACAAAATGTCCTCAACGTCTGTTGTTAATGAACTAAAACCAGTTCCGACCGGTCGCTCTGACCAGTTTCATCTTCGTCCAGTTTGTGATCTTTGATTTGATCAGGCTTTCTTTCAATTTCCCTCGATTACGCACCGTCGCTGCCCCCTCGATTACGCACCGTCGCTGCCCCCTACAGGGACAGTTAGGTCTATTGCATTGAATTAGATGGAAATTCTCCTTTGAATCCTGGTCTGAAATGATCCGACTTTTTCTCAAAGAAAAGTGAGGGGCAGTTAATATATATATATATTCATATATTTCTTTATATCTGTCAAAGTAGTTTTTTTTTTTAACCATCCTTCTGTACATCTCAACGGCGGCACCGTCAGTTCATAAATGTTACAGCAGCTAAAGTTAATGGGATCCGTTCTTAAAAAAATTATTATCTTCTCCATCTTTAACGATAACCCAGTTAAACGCTGGATTTTTTTTTTGCCTAGTTGTCAAATGTAGAAAATCTTGCTGTGAAGTTGCCGATAAAAACTAAAAAAAAAAATTAAAAAAATCCTCCCAGAAAGTCCGACGTGAATTCCAGTGACATTTAGAACTTGAAAAATGGCTAACGATAAACGGTTAATATATTCAAGTTTTTAACAGTTCCTCGAGCCACTTCCCCCAAACAGAACTACCCTTTGGGGAACCAACGCCGTGACCTGACATCAACATAAACTAATTGGCAATAATAACTTCCCGCCGCGGCAGCCATCGTTGAATAAATTAGCTAGAAATGTCACATTATTCGTCATTAGCCGACGAAAATAAAGCTGGTGATGTTCCAGCAGAGGACGCAGCGTTTGGACTCGGGGACCAAAGGTCTGGACTCGCTCAGGCTGTGAGTGTGAGGCGACTCTAATGCATCTTGGCAATGAATAGTGTCCATTGATTCTTCCACATCAAACTGCCTTCCTTCTCACACAGCCCCCTTTCGCCGTCTCCTCCTTTGGGGATTTTTTAGTGTGTGACACAATTATGGAGTCTGGAGTGAATCTGCCGTCGACGAGGGACGAACCTCCGACTGTTTTTTTTATTTTCTTTCTGTTGTTTCACGTTGACGTTTACGTTGACGGTCGAACTAAAAAAAAACCTTGACATCCGTTAACTCCCACGTTAGCAAACAGAAAACAGAAGCTCAGGCGGTTGAACCCAGAGCCGCGGTGCTGAGAGAGATACTGTGGCGTGACCTGATCTTTTCTGAGGGAACAGGGAGTGACTGGCTGTTGCACAGATACCGGTATCAGTGTGAGATCTCAGCGGGAGAAATGGATCAGTAATGTCATTTATCCATGCACTTGTGTTACCGTCGGCTCCGACGCTCGTACACAAAATTGAGATAAAAATCCGGTGAGCAATCAAGTGTCAGGCTGCCTGCGTGTGTTGGATGACACATTTAAAAAAAAAAAAAAAAAAAAAGAAAAAAGAAAAAAAAAGAAAAGAAGGATGAGAATCCGCGCCACGTCTTCTGATCTCCGCGGCTTCATTTCACTCTGTGCTCAGCGCAGCATATTAGCCCGGCAGAGGCTACAAACGTTACACCAAAATCAATACGTGGCTGACTGGTTTGCTCCATTTTTATTACGGGACGGGCTGTAAAATGTGAGTATCAGATATAATCAAAGATGGAATAATTTTCCAGTTTCTCACCAACGGCGAGAGCCGTTCAGGGTTAGGGTTAGGGTTAGCCGACCAGAAGGCTAGCAGTGACGCGGGCTGGGCCGCTGCCAGGACCGATACAGTCTACATTCAGAATAATGGACATCGATCAGGCTTATTTTACAGGTCTTTGGTCAATACGTGACGAAAAACTTAACGCTCAACATGTACTTCAACTGTTTACTTTGTTGTTTAACGTCGTCTTCTTCATCAGGACGGGTTTTAACCCCAAACTTTAACCCATATTTTAAAACCTTTGTGAACCAAAACAATAGACGTTATTCGTAAACTCCTGGGAAACATGATGCGATACGACCCCAAAAAAAAAAAAAAAAAATCTTGCGACCCACCTGAGGGCCGCGACCCAGTCTTTGGGAAACAATGTTTTATCACATCTACACATCTGTCAAATATTTGACCCTGCGCACCAACTCCACCAGGAGGCCCAACGATGAACACGCTAAGATCCCCTAAAAACCATGTACTCCCCGTGTTACACGCACGAAGATCCTCTAAAAACCATGAACTCCCCGTGTTACACGCACCGCAGTTTGAGAACCGCCACTGGCGATGATTAGAAAGCATGAAAAACTTCGTGGATCTTGACTCACCTTGAAATCACAGATGCACGTCACCATGTTGCCAATCCTCAGACATTCGCCATCAAACTTGCACGTGTTGGTGTCGCACAGGAACAGGTCCGTGTCCCGGTCGTCAAAACCTGAGGATCAAAGGACACGAGTGACATCAGTGACTAAACGCTTCCAATGTTCGCAGCCCCCCAAGCAGCGCTAGCATCAGCTGGATCTGGCTCTTTCATGATGTGATTGTGACATTAGTCATGACTCCCACAGATCAGCGCTCGCCTTTGATCTCTCAGAGTGCAGGGCAAATTGACTACAAAGCATAAAAAAAAAAAAAAAAAAACATTAACAAATGTTAGAAATGATTGCAGAGAAACCCCAGGTACAAAATATATTTTATCATTTGGAGTTTGCATGATGATGGTTAAGTGCCTGTGTGTTAAACTCAAGGCCCGCGGGCCAAACCTGGTCCACCAACTCCATTGAAGTGGCCCCCAGTCAACCAAGTCTTCGCGATACTTTGATTTAAAGGTAAATATTAGAATCACAACGTCGAATAAATCAAAACCTTTTGTCATTAGTTATGGGTAATGTGCGCCCCCTGCTGGGCTGTATGTAGCCAAAAATTTGAAATCTGATATATTTGAAGAATTTCTATGATTTATATACAATTCAGACCAGATACATGTCATTGATCAACCCTGGACCGGGGGCTCAGCGTTCAGCTCCGACCTCGACACGTACACTCCCGGTTATTTATTGTGATTTGTCCGTGTGCATCCAGGCTGTGGATCAGGGAGGAGCTCTGCACGAGTGAAACCCCGGGACTTGATTGGATTCCGGCTGCGTCGGGGATTTCAAATCACTTCAACCAAGCGTTCTGAATCAAATCAAAGAGTCACATGGGCTGGAGGCGGAACTCAGCGCTGGACGGAAGAAAGGAACGACACGGAACTGTTTACGGTGGACTATTATCCAGACGACGTAACGCCTTTGACAGGACAACAGAAGAAGAAGAGAAACCTCTACAGCGGGGTTTGGTTTTTTTTCCACTACAGCGGGGTTACAAAAAAAACCCAAAACTTTAAAAATCAATTTTGAACATATCCAGGATGAGGAGAGAGGAACCTCGTGTCTCACAAAATGGCACTTCAAAAACCAATATTGTTCTTCTCTCTCTTTTTTTTTTTGCTGGTACCGATGTCAGTACACAGAAGCACATTAAAGGTTTGACGTGTGTCACGGTGAACACTCATGCAGTGACTTTTATTAAAGAATGTTTTTTCATTTCAATTTTTAATCTTCTGTCATTTAATCTGTTGTTTGGGTTGGGGGTAGAGAGGGGTTTGAGGGGGGGTAGAGGGGTCAGGGATTGAAGTCAGTCCACATACACAGTGGTAGAACATACTGACTTCATCAGAACAGGAACGCCGTCAGTTGCCAGGAAATGTCTTCCTGTTAGTTTAGAACATTAACCACTGTTGTAGGATTGAATTAAGTCTCAATATTAACAAATCACTGTCATTGAACAGCATTAGCCTGGTAATCCGCAAGAGAAGGATAAGACGATAAAAACAAAGAGCGTAACATCTTGTTACTTTAGCTTCAGTTACCCTGGGATTCCAAAAAGACCCCCCCGCCCCTCCCCCCCCCCTTTTTTTTTTTTTTAAAAAAAAAAAAAAAAAAAAAAAAAAAAAAGGGACACATTTCCCAGAGTTAGCATGTATAGCATGTAGCATCACAGCGGGCTGTAAAACCCAAGTCGAACCCATTCTGACTGCAGGTACAAGCAAGTACATGAAGTATCAAGTATGCAGTACATGTGATACTTTCATATTGTTGTCGTATTACTCGAGGTCCCGAGAGTCCGACACTGGCTACAAAAACCGACGTCTAGAAAACTAGCATGTTAGCGATTCACTACAGGGATGTATATATTGTTGGGAAACGATCAGACGACTTCCTGCGTAAACACAACTTTCCTTCATTTCTTTTTTTTTTCAGTCTTTCTTCGAGAACAGACTATAGAAAAAAAAAAAAAAAACTCCCGAGACAAAATCATGGTTCTTCTAAATGAAAGGGACAGTTCTGTCAAACTGTCTCTTTTGGCAGATCTGGAGTCGGGACGAGTGCGAGGGGCAGTAAACACGCCAGACGATGATGGATGGACGGGGCGGGTTTTCTCTGATCCAATCTCATCTACATAATTGATCTGAAATTAAAAAGTAAAAAAAAAGAAAGAAAGAAAGAAACGCACTAGAATGAGTCTGCAAAGAGTTTCCCAGGACGTGAGGGAGCGAGCGAGCGAGCGAGACGTCGGCATCGTTTCTTGGGTAAAACTCAAGCTTCGAATATTTTACATATGGTCACTTCTGAAATCACAGCTTCAGGAAACAAACGTCAAGAATCTCAATTAGTTCTCCAGCAGTGGCTGCGTACGAGCAGATACAAATATAGATTTACAGTCGAGGTACATTTTTCATGGTGCCAGTCGAGGGCTCGGGGAAAACATAATTTGTGAAAATGTTATTTGTTCACGAGCAATAAATTACACACAATCAGCCCCAGAATTGAAATTAGTTTTCATTATTCCTCGGAATCAAATCCCGTCAAATCCTCCAAACAGAACTCTTTCTGGACGCGGTAAAAAAAAAAAGGACAAGAACGGGTTTTTGTTGCTAATTTAATCTGCACAAATTAAAATGAGCGTCAAAGAGCGGGGATTACAGGAGAAGTGTTTCTGAAGGAGGCAGATTTTTAATCCCTCTCAGGGTCAAGGGTCAGGGGGTCAGGGGTCGGGGGTGGTTCCTGGGTGAGGTCACGATCTGGACAGTTCACTAGTCTGTTGATGATGATGTTGAACAGTTGCACGAAATAAAAGTTTGGTCAACGTTTTTTCACACAGTAGTGTTGTTTTTTTTTCTGCCAACAAACCAGGAAAAAAAACAGTTCTCCTTCAGATCAGTACCAGAGAATTAGGGTCTAAAACGACTGGTGCTCCACAGACGTGACCTAAATCTGTGTGATCGCTGCCTGTGAGTCGTCTTTCTCAGAACAACCCTGCCAGTTATTCTGAAATAGAAAAAAAAGAAATTGTGGTCTGTGTCTTCCGCAGCTAACAATACCAACTGTAACTGCCAGGAACACAACAGTTCTCCGGCTGCGGCTCTCAGTCCACAGCAGCTAACAGAGTTAAGCTTTCACCCTTTATTGTTTTATACCCAACACGGGATTCATTTTCTTTAGCTACGAAATCACTGCCGACAACTTTAAACACAAACGCGGAGAATTCACCACCGTGAAAAACCACAGACGCTGGAAACAAGGTTTGACTCTGTGACTTTTTACGGACACGAGTCCAGATCTTCACAACAGTCCGGTCGGAAGAACATTCCAGCAAAAAAGACGGATAATCACCTCCAGACCTGACGCTGCTCGGACGGACTGAGGTGGAACTGAACCAACATGTAACCAGACCTCAAACAACAACAAGTCCACGTGTTGACAGTCAGAAAACAACTGACAGAACTGACTGAGTGGCAGAATTAAAAAAAAAAACCACCAGGTCACACTAGACCAAAAAGTCCAAACTGAAATAGCAAGTCACACTAGACCAAAACGTCTAAACTGAAATTGCGAAATAACAATTAACGCAAACAGTCGCGTACACATCAAGGGTACGTATCAATTATCGACACCGTCACGATTTTCATTGACTTTTAATGAGGTCCTTTAATGTCCAGTTTGAAAGACAAGGATTCTCACGTTCAAAGACGTTATTTCGAACCTAATCTCACACCAATTACTGAATCAAAAATGACAGGAAAACAAAAGCAAAAAAAAAAAAAAAACAACAAAATGTTGGTATAAAAACCTTTAAATGGGAAACTGATGCACTTTGTAATTTTAAACTTCACTGGAGCAACTGTTGTGTTAACAGCAGATCTGCAGCAACAACAACAACAACAAAAAAAAAAGAAAATTATAAAAATTTGACCATGGGCTGCAATTGGCCCACGAGCCAGATTTTGGACAACCCTGAAACAGCATGTAGCAGATAATGTGTTGTCTGTGAACAGAATTTTTTTTTTTCCACAGAGTGATGTTTATGTCAAGAATTATCTCAGCAAACTGAGGAAACGACACGTCTGGCACGAAAAGTCCAAACAATGAGACAGAAATGAGAAAAACAAACATTTCCGTTTCGTTAAACGTCCGCACGTCCAGAGAGCCTTGATGACACGGTGATTTATACGGGGCGTTCACACAGCTTCAGTGTCTCTGTGTCAGAGGCCGGGGGGGAAACGTACACTTCCTGCCCCGAGCGCTCGCCATCGCAGCGGCGGAAATTACAGTAACCTGAATAATTAACGAAAACAAGCGGGCAGACATGAAATATTGAAAAGTTAATGTTTAAATGCTAACGATAAAGATGGCAAGACAAGCACTTACTTGTCTAAAAGAGAGACCTTGTCAGCCAAATGCATCTCCTCCTACCTTCCTACCTGGAATTTTCACAACACTAAAAAGAACAAAGAGTCCTCGCCCCCTGTTTTAAGCATCGTGTGGATCAATTATTGAAGAGGTTAAATTAATAATGAAGGCTGAACAACCACAGTGGTGAGACATCCTTTTTTGACCTCTCATGAGGGAGACTTCTATTCTTTTCTTTTCTTTTTTTTCTCTCTCTCTCTCTCTCTCCTTCTTCTTTATCTCTGCAACAGGTCTTCAGTGCCACCGTGCAGGGAGTTCCATTCCAGGCTCTCCTCATGCCTTGTTAAAAGGCACTCAAATCACAGCGATTCAGTTTGGACACGTGACCTTCAGAGCAAGTTCAAAGACGTGGGTTGGA